AGAATCACCAAGGCACTCGATTAAATTTACTCGAATAAAAATAATTCTCAGCATTTTACCGGGGGGTCGTGGAAACACACCTTGCCTGTCCGAAGTAATCCGGAGCCGTTAACGAGATTTTGCATCCCCTGAAAAATTCGAAAGACGTCGAGCGCTTCTTGGAAGGTAGCCAAGGAAGACGAGAAACAAACGAAGCTCTTTGGTTTTAATTTATGCGTGGCACGGCCGAAGGCGTTATTAGTCCTAGCTGGCCACGATGGGCGTGACGTCACGCGGCTAAAACAAAGGACCCTAGACCGTGCCCATCCCACGATGGATCTCTTTCAACTGTGCCGACAGGAGGGCGCGAAACCCTGGACGCTTTACGCCTCGCGAGCTTCGCTCTGATTTGAACCAGACCAAAAATTCTCTTAGATGAGGGAAAAATTCTCTTCATGTGGGATATTAATATAGTTTATAATATACTTTCTATGGAATCTATGGACATGGCAATTATCGCAAACACGATAGGAAAATAAATGGTTAAATTATAGGGTTCGCGCAGGTTGTTGCAGAAACATGAAATATAAAGAAAACGCGCATGAAATTGCAACGATATCGATTTTATTCAAGAGCCAATAACGCCTGTTAAATTCGTAGCTGAAACGAATCCTGCTTCGTTTAAGTCCAACCGAGAATGGCAATGGAAGGAGAGGTAATGTACACCCAAGTCGTATACGGGCAGCAGCATGCATAAAACATCGAAACTTCGCGAAGTATGGCAGTAATTGACGGAGGACAGGTATATAGAAGCTACTAAGTCGAGTAAGTGCTACATATATCGACCGCCTCGGAGGCGCCTCGCTCGTGCTGCCTACATGCAATAACGACTTCTTTTCGTTCTGCCCTGCGTAATTACAGACCGGCCAGAACTCCTGGCTAATATCGTTCTAATCGATAATCCTATTAACGCCCTCTCGTTAACCGATCACCCGAATAAATCTGATATTCAAACAAATGGGAAATAGGAATGATCAACGAGTTCCTACCTGGGCATCGGGGTACGTTGCAATTCAAACGTGATGGTAAATGAGTACGCTCGCTAAGAGATAGTTTTATTAGGGAGACTGATCCTCTATGGGCCCGTGTATTTTAGTTTTTTCATAAAATGATGTATACATACGTTCTGACACATTGCGAACCGGTCACGAGTTAACTCGTGTGTTCATCCTCAAACGTTGTCGACCGGTCACGAGTAAACTTCGTGTTCACGTTTGCTTTATCTATTTCAATTTATGAAGCCCAGGGCGATATAGAATATTCCGAAAGCTTTGCTCATCGTGTTATGCGTGTAAAATATTTCATTTTAATTCATTATGTTGGCAAAATGTAAATAATATAGAGTGCATGTAAATACGCAACTTTATCCCTCTCTTGTAATCATTTACATTCAAATGTACACGACCTAGAAACTATGTAGGAAGGAGTACTACTGCGATCCCAAATGAAATGGTTAGGCTAGCCCGGCCCGCGATAAAGCCAGTACACGTCGACTGTAAGTGGAGCGAGCGTTGGTGCTCGATCGCCGCGAGCATGGATGTAGAATGTCGACTGAAAACGAAGCCGGAGGAGGTTAATTGAGAGACGTCGTTGTCTCCGCCAGGCCACTGTCATATCGTTCCAGTGGATCAATACGTAGCTTGCCTACAACCTGCACTCGCAAAGCTCGAAGAGGGCGTGGCCACGTACACCACCGGTAGAGAGATACTCTCTCCTCTCCTCTTTCCCTCTCCCAGGCTCACCCTCTTCGCCCCCCCCCTCTCTCTCTCCTCTATTTATTCTTCCCTTTCCGCTGGCTCTCACCCTAACCACGCGTCCAGGAAGGACGATTTTGTCTTCCAACCCCTGGCGGCGGAGCTACGCCGAGCAAGCGTCGAAGCTCACCACCTCCCTATTCGTCGACGACTCCCAACGCGAGCCATCCTGTTCGACATCTTCCTTCCCCAAATTTTTGGTATCTCTTTCCACCGAGAGAATCGAAATATTAATATGCCCTTCTTAACCCACTGAATTCAACCACTGCTCAAGCTCTGGTACAAGGTCACAATGGCTGAAACGGTAAAAGGGCGTAGAAAATATATTTCAGTCGAAGGAAACTATTTAGAACGTTCACCAACAGCGCGATCCTGGATCATAGGTGGTTGGAAGTACGATTATTAAAATAGAAACGACGGTATTATCCGAAGAAGTTTCTCTCCACACTGATTAATTTAGCGTCGAAAAGGGTTCGTTCGTTGTACAATGAACGTCGGTGAATCCGAAGGGAAAAGATCGCGACGACATAGACGGCGGTAACGAGCCGGGGACGTGAAAAAATACGCCGATGGGGTGAAAGGTTGGAGTCGACGACCCGTTTCGAACGACCCCGGGATTTTTTAAAGAGCGGAACGGGCAAAGAGCTCCGCGTTCGGCGATGACCGCAACCGTGGTTATTACCCTAGCAACCTTGCCCGAAGTCACGGGACGGGGTGACCACGGATTGGTAGGGCTTTCTCTCTCTCTCTCTCTCTCACACTCTCTCTGTTTCCCTCTTTGTCTCTATCGTCGAAGGGTGCGCGCACTCGTTGTCTTTGGTCGGTGTTGGTGCAAGGTTGAACCGTGTGGGGGCGTGTCGCCTCGATGGCGCCGGCTGCTAATGGCTGCGCGGCCCGCCAGACTTTAATTTCCTGCCGCTTCCGCGGACCCTTTGCCTTTACCTTTCCACGTCCGAATCCGCTTCGGACCCTTCTCCAGCCTCCAGCCTTTCGGTAGCCACCGACCGTCTGCTCGTCTTTCGTCCCTCCAAACGACGTCGCCATGATTTGCATGGGACCAAAATCGCGGAGTTGTCCCGTGCCCCGGAGACTTTAGAAAAATCCCATTACCGGAACGTTGTATACCTCCGACTCGTATCGTCAACGCTTGGACCCTTTGCCGTGCTTGTATAAATATTTAAGCGAATCAGGAAAATTGCGTGCTGAGACATTCTAGACGTTTCACGGCTTGGTTCTTTGCGGACGACACTTGTCGAGTCTCCCGGATGTCAACTGCGTCCTTGAAGTAAATTGCTACGACGTTTCGACAGCGTCGTAAGTAGCTTCTTCAGGGATAACGCGATACGTTGATATTGGGGTGTGTCGCGTAATTCGGGACTTTTTATTATTCATGGTTCACCGTTGAAAGCTTGCATACTCGGAAAGGGGGAACTATATGGTCTTTCTTGGGGTCTGCATCGACCTCCATGCTTTTCTAGATTACTTAACTCTCCCAGACCAGTTTTCCTCATAAACTACACTATTTGAATTTTTTTGAAATTTTCTCCATACTAATTTCGGTCAAAGTTATTCCTAACGATTAAGTTGCATTAGTACGAGAGAAAAAAGGAGCCGTAATAAATAGGAAGTCCGAACGAAGTTCCACGAGTCAGGCTCATGTTTATTGTTTATGGACCAAATTCCTTAACACGAGTCTCGCTCATCGTCGTAAACTAAAGAGTTAAACTAATTTTGCTTTTAAATAACAAGACTCGTTATAGCCATCGCGCTTTACAGTAATTTCTGGAAAACAACTAAATGTACCAAAATCAATGAAACTTGAAATCACATGCGATTGAAACCCAGCTCAAAATTGTTATACGATAGCTCGATCTTCAGTGGACTATTAGTGTGCCAGTACACTTCGAGTACAACGCCAAGAGTTCTTGGAATGCCAAGGGTTAAGTTTGTGTAATAACGTACGACTCGCCACGCTATCCGAATATTAATGCGCGTCACCGGTACTACGGTTTGAAAAATTCTCGAGGAATCACGTGTTGCCACGCCGTTTCAGCAGTTTTTCAACATCGAGGAATATGGGAAACGGTCGGCGCCAAAGTGCTCCGAACGAAGCGGATCGCTTCCCCCGGTTCTTGTTTCTCTCGGGCAATCTTCCGTCTCTTCTAGGATAGGACCGGCAATTTTGTGTCATTATACACCCTCGGGGGAAGACTCGGTTCCGGCGGCCGGTGGCGAGCGGACTGGGTTTCTTTTTTGGGTCGATTTAGCCGCGATTATGGTCGGCATACAGCGCTCGCTCGCTGGATTTCGATATTACGAGCTGCGTTACCTTGAGAAAGCGACTCAATCGCCTGGGATCCATTTCGTCGGATCGGTATACGCGAGCGAGCGCCTAATTCGCGAAGCCCGCCTCGAAACTCGTTATTATCGGCTTGCGTAATCGTATCGGAAGAGCTCCCCCGTAATTCCATCGGGTAACACCTGCTCGAGAACGCGGTTCACCGTAATAAAATTGTGGCTAGCGCGCTGTATAACCAACCGATCGGAAATTTCGTCATCCATCTTCGTAAACCGTTTGCTCGCATCGTCGAACGAACGTCTTGTAGCGTCACTCGATGCTTTCGCGAGCAGCGAGAGAAAGAGTTATAATTGCTCCGGTGACTCGCACCGGAAACTCCTCCGAGGCACATCGAGCATACCGAGCGGTTTTTTGATTCTATTACATTTGTTTGCCTAGCGGAGAAAAGCAACGCGCAGTGGTAATTGGACCGCTTAATCGTCTTTTAAGAAGACTCGAAAGATGTTTAATGATACGGCACTGAGGAATGTCCAGCGAGCCGTGCCTTGGAAGCAATTTGTGCTCACCGCGGATGACTTTTATGCGCATACATCAGTCGCTTAATAAAACTCGCGAGAAGCAAGTTAAATGAAAGAGCATCTAACTTGTTTTCCACGCATGTCGTTAAGGAAATAACTCTATGAAGGAGTCGATTGCCGTGAGAGCAAATTGCGAACAAGCTTGCGAGAGAGTGGTCCGTTAGGAACGCATGTTTCTCGGGTACCACGTTTCATCGAAAGGACAATTTCTAATTTTTCTCGAGACGTAATAATGCTCTGATTCAAAGAAGCGTGTCCGGCGCACGACATTCCATCACTGTTCGGAGAAGAGCCACGTCGTAACCGAATCGTTCTTTTTTCTTGTTTCAGGACCATCCGGGGTTACGTGGCACGCCGCTGGCGATGCTCGCAGCTCAGTGCAACAAATTGAGCAGCAAGAGTCCCCCGCCGTTGGCCGACGCGGCCGTAGGCAAGGGTTTTCATCCTTGGAAAAAGAGCCCGCAGAGCAGTGGCAGTTCGCCTCAGCACTCGACTGGGAGCGGCGGAGGCGGAGGGGGCGGAGGCGGAGGATGCACGACGACCGGAGTGAGTCAAAGACCAGCGGCGACGAGCAGCGCGGGCAGCACGGGTGGTTACGCGAGAGCCCCTGTCACCTCTTGCGCGTCCACGGCGCCACAGTACGGGAGCGACCTGTACTTCCCGGGGACGGCGAGCGCCCAACCAGCGAGCGATCCGCATCATCATCAGAGCAGCCTGCTAGGGAAGGTCGAAGGAGCGACCTTGGGCTCGGTGTACGGTCGACACCCGTACGAGTCGTGGCCGTTCAACGCGATGCCAGGCGCGACCCACAGTGGTATAAAAGCAAGCGACGGCTGGTGGGACGTGCACGGAGCCGCGACGGCCGGCGGATGGCTAGACGTAAGCAGCACGGTAGGCGTCGGCGTCCACGCCGCCCAAATGGCCAACTACTCGGCCGACTACTCCACAAGTCTAGCGCTCGCTGGCAATCATCTGTTGACCACCGCGACCACCGCCGGTCATAATCTGCTCCAAGACACGTACAAATCGATGCTACCGGGTGGCCCGCCCGGTTTCGGGCTTCATCATCACGCGGCCGCGACCGCTGGTGCTGGCGCCGGTGCCGGTAGCCCGCAAGGCAGCGGCGGTGGCGTCGGCGTCGGGGCCGGCGGTGTCAGTCAAGCGCCGTCGCCGCGCTCGCAAAGACGGTACACCGGAAGAGCCACCTGCGACTGTCCAAACTGCCAAGAAGCCGAGAGGCTCGGTCCGGCCGGCGTGCATCTCAGGAAGAAGAACATCCATAGCTGTCACATACCGGGATGCGGTAAGGTCTACGGGAAAACGTCGCATCTGAAGGCCCACTTACGGTGGCACACTGGTGAGCGACCGTTTGTTTGCAACTGGCTTTTCTGTGGCAAGCGGTTCACACGTTCGGATGAGTTGCAGCGGCACCTTCGAACCCACACCGGCGAAAAGAGATTCGCCTGCCCGGTCTGCAACAAGCGGTTCATGCGCAGCGACCATCTCGCGAAGCACGTCAAGACCCACAGCAGCAGCAGCAGCAGCAGCGGCAGCAAGGGCAAGGGGGGAGCGGGGAGCTCGTCAGCCGAGTCCTGCTCCGACAGCGAGGACAACGGGAGTCAGCAGAGTCCCACTTCCAGCTCGGTGCCGCCGCAGCCGCAGCCGCCGCCGCCGCCGCAGCAGCAGCAGCAGCAACAGGGCCAACAACCGGCTCAGGCTCAGCAGCAACAAGCTCTGGTGGCGGCGGCGGCGGCGGCGGCGGCAGCGGCAGCGGCGGTGGCGGCGGGCCAGGACACCAACAACACCACATCCCAGACCACCACCAATCACGGCCATCAGCCGACAACGCCCATGACCCCAATACAGATGACCCCGCCGCCT